AAGGTGCTTCACGATGCCATAGAAGAACCTTTTTGTCTAAATGGTTCCATAAAGAACCTTTAACATCTGAAGAACCTTTCTGTTTTACAAAAGGTTCTTTGGGGCGAAAGAAGGTTCTTCAGATTATAAAAAGGTAAGAAAGAGGTGGTTCTTTAAAGAACCTTTGACTGAATGGTTCTTTGTGGAGCCAAAAATTGTTCTTCTATGGCATCGCTGTGAAGAACCTTTTGAAGCACCTTTATTTTTAAGAGTGTACTGAAATGAATCAATAAGAAGGAAAATAATTAATTTAATGTTTAATACAAAGACACAAGCAAATTACTATATGCAAACATGAAAGCTGCTCTATCTGTTATGATATTATACTATCAAGTGTATATGATTACCTGTAAGTCTTGCGTTGTGTCACGCGCAACACTTTTAAAGAATGACAGAGACCTCAGAAGCCGATAAATTCAGTATTGACACACATGAGACATATTAGAGACATAAATGAGATCGGGGTCTGTACCAGAGAGAAGAGGTTGGAATGACAGTCTTCTAAACTCGCCCCGTTCGCCACCCAGTTCGCTGCTGTAGTCATAATCACCCGGAGCCGAACATCCCGATTAAAGCCGATCAGAGCCGAACATCACAATTAATCGCAGCAATTAATCGCAGAATCCATGCCGAACATCAGAAGAACCAAAGCACTAAACATGTTCGTATGTGAATCTTCTGCTTTTTAGCTTCTCGCTGGATTAAATCCGTAATCGGTCCGAATCGAATCACCTTCAGTCTCGAGTGTTTTTTTAATCCATGACAGATGAAGCGTCCATAAATCATATAATCCACAACACGACAGATCGACACTCGTGAAGTTTCAGATCATCCGGTTGACAGTGAATTGAAGAATCGGTCAGATGTCACACACACGCACATGATCACATGCAGCTTTCACTTTAATCACACACACACACACACACACACACACACACACACACACACACACACTGAAACAGCGCATTAAAATCATTCAGATTTCCTCCTCACAAACTGAAGTGAGCGGTGAACACATCTTCCTCTTTTCTCTGAGAGGCCATGACGAAACAACGACGCCAGACACACATTATAAAGATCATTCGCCAATAATCATCCACACAAACACGCAGCGTTGTTGAAATGACTCCAGTCTGAGCGCGTATTGTTCACGCATGGCTCATGCAGCAACGCTGAGCGCGCGCCCGCGTTTCTCTCTGTGTGTGTGTGTGTGTGTGTGTGTGTGTGTGTGTGTGTGTGTGTGTGTGTGTGTGTGTGTGTGTGTGTTCACGTGATCAGGGATTACGGCAGTGTTGGAGAATCTGCGGTAATTACGTGGTTCGGCCGCTAGAAGCGCTGCTGATCATCAGCGTCTTATCTTTTTAATCTTTTTTGACTTGTTTTGACACACTACAAACTTTCAGTTATAATGCACTGTTATAAAATGGGATTATTTTATATTGTTTGCAAATGAGACCTCGATGTTGGCGTCTCTATGGCTTAAAATTAAGGCTAATTTTCTTGTTCATGTGCTGCTGACATGGATGATTAATAATCATATTCAATCCACCATGATCATTTTTCCACACAATGTAAAATAATGTTCCATTACATCAAGAGTCTGTTCACATCTTTGATAATTGCCTTTAGTACAAATTAAACCTGTGATCTACAATATATGCAGCTGTTGATCACAACAAACACATGTGGACATAGCGAACAAAGAAAAGTTATTTCAGTATCCTGAAGAAAAGATCAAACCAAAATCTTGGTTCAAGTCTAACATATTGTTAGTTGGTCAGTTCTTAAAATCCGCATCATAATTTTGTGTGTTGAATATTTGGGTATTGTAGGTATCAGTTTGTTCACACTGTAGTATATTAAACACAATTTCTGATAAAACACTAACAACAGTCTTATGCCTAAATGGATCATGCAGTTCTGAGGCTGATTTAATATAAGGGCTGTTCAGCACAATGCACTGAAATCCTGTGAGGCCTGACCCAAATGCTATAAACTTCAGCGGCACAATCAATGTTGTGATAAGAACAGAGGCCGTATCCCATTTGCCAAATTATGGTTATTTCCGTAATGCATTGTAAAGCCCAGCTGTATCTGATAACCTGCTCTGCTGGAGAAAAGTGGATTCTGGCATCGTGCCTCTTCTTATTGCTAAACGAGAGAGTGAGAGAGAGAGAGCGATGTATCAGAAAGATTAGAGCTGAGCACAGCACATATCGATCTCACAGCTTCAAGAAGATGGCAGAATTCATTTGTAGTTTCTTCATCTTGTTTAATATGCCTAGCAGGTCTGGAAAGGTCTCTGCTAAGCAGCAGTCCAGTCATGTTGTGGGGAGTTTCAGAGCTAATATACAGGATGTTCTCTGGTAAATCAAAGGTCCACTCCTTTATTTAATGCCACAGAATGAGTCCGAGTTGAGGGAGACATAACATGCTAATGATTTTGTCTAATGAGCTTTTATAACATTTATGACTTTAATAATGCATTTGACACTGGAGGCCTGAATACAAACTTCAAAAGAACAAAATATCTCTTACACTATCTCATCGCATTTATGATATTAGAGATGCTTGCAATCTTGCATGTTTCATTCTAAGTTTCTCTACACACAAAAAGTTTGTCCTCAATATATGTACAATCCATCAAAAACAGTTTAGTGCGGCAACAAATCAACAGAGAAAATCACAAACATTCATTGCTTACACACACACACACACACACACCCACACACACACACTGCAGGAATTTTTTGTATCTCAGACGGACTCCAAACACCTCAATGGCATTTCCTGGAAAAGTGGCTGTCTGGCAGAAGAATAGATGGTGCACATTATAATGAACAGAGTCTGACACAAGCTCATCGATCATCCAGCCAGGGAAAATGATAGCACTGTGGTCGCGCGAGAACCTCTCATAACCACTTCACAAAGACACAGCACTGCTCAAACAACATGGAGTCCAACCTTGCTTTCTCCTGAATGAAACTACTGCAGATAAGACATTTTTTTTGTTTTTTTCCTGGTCAAAAATTATCACCTTTTAAACAATGCTTGTAAATCTCTCACTATGCTATATTATCACCAAATCTTGGATGCAATCTTTTTGTCAGCGTGTTTTATTTCAACTAGCACAGGTTTTGTATTTCTTTTTAGAGCTGATTGATTGTAGGTCTCACTGATCTGAGCTTATGCACTTCAGTTTTTGAGTTAAAGGGGCCATCCGATGGCAATTTTCCACAAGTTGATATGATTCTTTAGGGTCTTAATGAAAAGTCTGTAACATAGTTTGGTTAAAATAGATTGCCCTTATAAATCTTGATTAGTTCCTTATTTCTGATGTATATAAACTCCATTATATTTAGGATCAATCAGATCGTATGCGTTTAATAAATGAGGCCGCAGAACTGAACCAGACTCCCAGTGTATTACTGACACTGTTCACATGTAAATTCTCAGAGATGCGGTAGAGAACATCAAGTGACCCGTCACAAAATACTATGCCATTTATTTAAGCCTTATACCCAGCTAAGATCATTTTTACTTGATCTTTTATTGAACAACTTACTATAAACCTAATTTGAGGCTTTGTAAAAAGTGTGTGCTACAAGAAACTATCAACCATGGCTTTTCATATATCTGTTTGTTGACATGAAGGGCAAGAAATGTTTTTATCCTTTGAATATTCACAGAAGATCAATCACCATTTAGCTTTTCTAAGCGTGGAGAGATGTGGCGACTCCTGCCTGAATCAAAGAGCCGTCTAAGTGACAGATGAACAGTGTGGTCGTTCTCCCTGCCGCTCCGAACAAAGCCTCCATCACAAGCGTCTACAAATTAATTCAATTCATCAGCTCTGTCTCCTCGGGCCTCCTAATGTGACCTGATATTGCTGGAGGCTCCTCATAATGAGTGTTTGTGGATGTGATTAGGGGCCGGCGTTTGCTCAGGCAAATTAAAACATTACTCTCACAGTACCTCTGTGCTTCTCCAACCCGCCAATTGCAGCAGATTTCTAATTATTGTAATGAGTGAGAGATTCAGCCCTGGGGCCACCGAGAGGAGAAACACTCTTGTTTGAGAGCAGCGTGAGACACAGTGATGTCAAACCCGAATCCAGAGCTCAGACACCAGCCGAACACCATTGAGACTCTCCTCTCATATTGTAGTGCCTTATGCCCTGCACAGCATCAGTTTACATAACATGTCTGTTTATTAGGTCAGTTTTGTTTGTACAGGCACTTTTCAGCTTTTCATAATTTTCTTATAGCATAAATTTTATGTTTATAATTCCTTAATTTATCATAGTCCATGTCGAATAGTTTAGATTAGTGGTTCTGATCCAGGGATATCCGCAAACTCATCACAATGAGGCATCAAAATGATTCAAAATAAGACAGAAGCTTAAATACAACACAAAAAAAAATAAAAAAAAATAAAAATAAAGTGTTCCCAAAGTCTTGGAAAACCCTGACACAAATCAAGCAAACATTTATTTTATAATTTAAATCTTAAAACCACTTTTTCCAAGCACACTGCTTTTTTTACATGTCCATCTGCTCAAACTTTTGCAGATATCAGTCACTCAGAGGAAGAATAGAGGTACACTCTTAAAAATAAAGGTGCTTCACAATGCCATAGAAGAACCTTTTTGTCTAAAAGGTTCCATAAAGAACCTTTAACACCTGAAGAACCTTTCCGTTTCACAAAAGGTTCTTTGTGGCAAAAGAAGGTTCCTCAGATTACAAAAACGCAAGAAAGAGATGGTTCTTTAACGAACCTTTGACTGAATGGTTCTTTGTGGAACCAAAAATGGTTCTTCTATGGCATCGCTGTGAAGAACCTTTTAGAAGAACCTTTGGAAGCACCTTTATTTTTAAGAGTGTAGTTGATGGATAATTGGGGCTCCAGCGCCCCCTGATGGACAAAACTCCAGCACTAACAAGAGAATGAGAAACACTGCAACCAGTTCAAAATATTTATTAAAAGCTAATCAGTATTTGGTGAGCAGATCTCTGCTGGGTCTGTAGCCTAAGCGTCCTCCTCTCCAGAAACACAGGTAGTAGCTCACGGCCAAAACTCCCATGATGGTCACCAGCGCTGCTGCCACCGAAACCACCAGCAGCCACAGCAGAGCTTCAGTCAGACCTTCACAATCCAGAACACACACACACACACACACCAAAAAAACTCATTCAGTCACACAGCCTTTAATAAACATCCTGCTGAAGAGCACAGACCATGTTCAGTGCTAGACTGTGTGTCCAGAGATGTGTCGCTCTGAGATTCATCCTCCATCACAAATGGCCCCAAAACTTTACGAGCTGACATGCCTAGTGGAGAAAATCATGTCAATTGTTAATGGTCACATCGCACAGATCAGATGCTCCTGATGGCAGAACATTCGATGGCATACCTTTCGTGGAGTCTGTCCTCCAGAAGCACGTGGACTCGCAACAGGAACACGCGTAGCTCTGGGACGGATCATCCAGGAGCTCCCATCTACCACAAACCACACGTCACAAAATATTCAACAACAGAACAAGCTCCTCGGCGTCTACATGAGATCCAGAACCTCAAGAACTCGTTCATGATTAGTTTGAAACAGAAATCGGTTTGACCTGCGCTGCTGCTGCATGTAGTGACACGCCTTCCTGTCCACACGCTGGATGTCCCACGCTTCCAGATCACAGTGCAGGAAAATCTGCCACACAAACAGACCAACTGAGAATGGCATCAAACAAAAACACATAACATCCTGATATAAGCACTGTAAGCGCAGCCCTCACATTCTGTCCAAGAGCAAACTTGAAGGCTTGGAGATAGAGGCGTATTTCAGCAGGATGACGCCTCGGCAGAAAGCTGGAGTTTCCTGATTTACTTTCCATCAGACACCTACAAGCGACAAGTAAGCGTCAGTAAACACAGATACACATGATGAGCGCCCATGTTATGTTCGGTCATTCTGACTGACTTTGCTCACACAAGGTATAACATTTTCCCAGATAAATGTGATAACATTTATGCATTTCACACCTTGTTACACTCATTTTAATTAAATACACAGTCATTGTGCACATCCAAAACCCGTGATTAGGCTCATGAACAGGATAAAACAAACATGAATTAAAGCAAAAGAACTAGTGTCTGCACACTTAACTTAGGCTCCAAAAGAATTTATACCCATGCTTAAAATAATTTTTTGGAACATTTTTATGAACAATATTTAATGCCTCATTAAATATTGATGATATGTCATCAGTAGACCTCATTGATCGGCGCTTATGGACATCAGGTATTTTTTTTAGGCGAATAATCTTGCGAGAACTTTTCACTCAAAAACTGAGGTGCATAAGCTCAGATCAATGAGACCTACTATTAATCAGATCGAGAAAAAAAATAAAAAAATAAAAAAATAAAAAACCAGCGCTACTTGACAAAGATTCACAAAAAGATTGAATCTGAGATTTAGTGATCGTATAGAAGACAGATTTAGAAGTAATTTTTTTAAAGGCTGGGAACACCAAATTAGGTGAAGGATGTTAGAATGGTGAAGAAAGCCACGTGTGGTTACCCGACGTTGGCGATGATGGGATGCACCTGAGCGGCATGGCTGATGTTGGCATCCGTGGCAGCCACACAGCTCTCCATGAAGATTTTCAGCGGCCTGTGGCTCCGTGACTCCACCGTGGCTCTGATGGGAATAATGGACCCAAGCTGGAACCTCATAGACGGAGCCGGAGCACTGAAATCACCTGCAGACCATCAGTAGAGTCATCATCAACTACAACATGAACATGATAAACTCAGGTGTACATGTTACCGTTCAGCAGCACATGCACCCTCCGCTTATGTCTCACCCTACTGAAACTGCTGTTGATTTTAGTGCTATACACACACACATTTAATGCATCGCCACATGAAACTGTATCTGCACCCCATTTACTTTCATAATGGGTTCATTCCTGGTATTCTTCTGTGCCATTTGACATCATAAAACAGGAAAAATTGTGATATTTGGTGGATTAAAATGCTGTAAAATGTTATCACCTTCACGATGCTTAAAGTTCAAATGGGGATATTTATGTGCAAGACAACTTGAACACTTATATTCCTCGTAATTTTAATGCAGTAAGATCAGTGAGGTAAGTGAAGCAAGTTTTAAGGTAAGAGCATGATCTTTACGCTGGACACAAAAAGGCACTGAATACCAGAATGACCCAATGTGACATATCGGAGTGAAAAAGGATATTCACTGATTATAATGCGAATTTAATCCATGAGGATTGTGGTCAAACGTGTCTGTACATTAGTTTTGGAGATGAAGAAAGTGGTTACTTTTATTAAAAGTCTGAAGAAAATAAATCAGGGAATGAGTGCTGAAGATGAGGAGTAATGTAAATGTGAGTTTAACACTAACCGTTCATAAGCTCCATGCTGAAGATCGCCAGTCCTTCATTCTCATCTTCCACAGCGCTGAATGCTGTCATCTTGCTTACAGCTCTGTGTAAAACAAGCTCAAAGACTGAATGAAAGCTTAAACTCATCTCTCCATCATTAATTCGGTGTAAATAGATGTCTTTTCACAGTGGCATACCGGACATCTATGAAGACCCCTGTAAAGAACGAGATGGGGGCCCCTCCCACCAGTGATGTCATGTACTGCATGAAAAATTGTGCACCTGCTGCAACATACTACGGAGTCTGTCTCCCCAATTTACATAACAGTAATGAATGTGGTGAATCATCATAATAATGATAATTGAATCATCATTGCATTGATGCACTTTGAACAACATTATAGGCTATTATAGGCAAAACTACATTTAAGGGTAAGAACAGGTAAAAATAGCCCTTTACAAAAAAAGTTGCACTTTACCACTTTTTACAGGTGGTAAACGCTTAAGGTAAAACTTTGCGTGGGTTGTCCTGGGTTCTTCTGCAGAGTTTGATTTTTTTTTATAAGACTGTCTTAATGAATACTCCATGTTAAGCGTACAAATATCCATCTCGATTAAGATGGTCAATCACGACCATCTTAGAAGTAGCCTACATTGTTTGACAAATGAAATGTGAGAAAATTGATTATACCTGGTTGTCGTTTTAAAACATTAAGCCAGGTTAAGAGTTTTCACACGTTTGCCACGTACTCCACTGCGCTACCTTTGCGCACGTATCTCGCGTCTTTCGCTCCCGAAATAGTGTCTCGACTCTCGAGTCAAAAGAAGTTTAACGGTGGGGTCCCGGTGGTGTCCCGTGCGCCACTGTCTCATCACCTACGAGTCATAGACGCACTGAACCGATTGGGAAATGAACGGCAGCTCCGGCCGTCGGTCATAGATCAGCATGTTGGAGTACGTCACTCTGTCCGATTTTTCGATCTGGCTCTTCATGACGTAAACGAGGGTGGAACTCCTTATATGGGAATTTCTCCCGGTAAAACGTGCCCGCGCACACATCGAGCAGAGTGAGAGCAAGAGCGAGATCGTGCCCATCAATGCGCTTCATCCGACGGCAGCGCTGCACGGGACTTGCTCGGGAAGAATGTCTCCAATCCAAAGAAGTGTTTTTGGTTGTAAGGGAAAGATAACATTGTTCAGCTTCCTAAAGAACCCAGCGTTATGTTGATACTGAAAGATGGAGCGGTCCCAGCTATAAAAAATCCCAGTCATGATTCAGAACAGCAGACGGTAAGCAGTGGCGGCTCGTCAGGGGAGGCACAGCCTCCGCAAAATTTTGAGGTGTAAAAATAGTAATAGTAGCTTACAATTTAATGTTAATGAAATCTCCAAATAATATTTAATGTCTTCATAATGTGTATTTCTTAATTGTAATTTCACCATTGCAAACAATAAAATATTACTTAAGTCGGAATCCCCTGTGTTTTACCGCTGCTGTATTCTCCGTGAACATCTCTGGATAGAGAAGGGGAGGGGGGGAAGCACAATCCAAAAATGGAGATTCTGGCCTCCGTTGATAAAAAATTAACCAATCAGCATTGAGTATTTCTACGCATCAGCAGAGCAGCAGAGAGATATTGAATATTTTATCACAAATACATTTACAAAGCTCCCTTTTGAGAAGCAGCTAAAAATAAAAAATGAAGGAAGACCCACGCCTAATCTGGACATAAAACAATCTTCATTATGCGGCCGAACGCGCTGTTTTAGAAACGAATTATTTAGCAAAACCGAGTGGCTAACAGGCTCAGTGAACTTGAACAAACTCTTCTGCTAGCCTTGTCTGCTATTTGACGAATCAACTGGAGGATTCAATCCATGGATTACGACTGGTTTCAACGATATGAAGAATTTAGCAAGAGCTATGGAAAGACATGCAAAGTCTCGGAGCCACATATCTTCCGCTCTTAAGCTTCAGTTGTTCGGGCGGGTAAGAATCGATGAGGCACTCAGCCAGGCCGCTGCCATTGGGGTACTGCGGCATAACGAGCAGGTGGTGAAAAACCGTGATCTTTTGCGCAAACTGATCATTGCGGTTCTATATTTGGGCCAACAAGAACACGCATTTCGTGGTCACGATGAGTCTGCTACAAGTAAAAACAAAGGGAATTTTGTACAACTTCTAGAAACCTTTTCAGAGTTTGACCCAGCACTTGCAGAGCATCTGAAAACATCCACCATTTTCAAAGGTACTTCAAAATCAATTCAAAATGACATAATTGACAGTATAGCCACTGTTGTAAATAATGCAATAGATCAAGAAATTCAGTCAACTGATTTCTTTGCCATACAAGCAGATGACACTACCGATGTCTCATGTAAATGCCAGCTGTCCGTCATTCTCCGTTATGTGAATGTCAGTGGCGCTATTTGCGAGAGATTTCTGGGTTTCCACGACGTTAGCGCCAACAGAGACGCCGAATCACTTTCTGAAGTGTTAATGAAAGTAATTCAGAAGTACAACCCAGAGGCCAAGTTAATTTGTCAAACATATGACGGCGCAAGTTGTATGAGTGGGCAGCAAGGGGGTGTGAGGGCCCGTGTGAAAGAACAGTGCCCACATGCACTTTTTGCCGCACTGGACTGTTTCCACAATTTTTTCACTCGATCACCAAAAAGACCGCTTTACTGACTGAGGCTGACAATTGAGTTCGAATTCCCGGAGGCTTGGCTACTCGGTGGAACTTTAAAAGTCGCGCCGTGAATGCAGTATGTGAAGGCCGCCAGAGTCTGAACATTTTTGACCGAATCATGACGGAACCAGGCTGGGATAATGATGCGATCGCTCAGGCCATGGCACTCAAACAGAAATTGCAGGATTTCAAGTTCATGTTTCTACTTGATGTTTTCTGAGCAATTTTTGGACACACCGATGTTTTGTTCCAGGTTCTCCAAGCTAGATTGCTTGATTTGAGACGGTGGTTTGACTACATAGATTCGACCCTTAAATCACTGAAAGCACTTCGTACTGACAAAATATTCCAAGAAGTGTATGACAACACTGTCCGTGCTGTTGGGCACGAGGATGGCCGAAGGAAGCAGCGCCGCCGCGGCTGGTGAGACTATGAGTAAGGATTTCACTGCAGCGAGCAGGGTGAAGATCCAAGCATCACTGACTCTTATCGATCTCTGTTCTATGAAATTATGGATGCAGTTATATGTCAAATGACAGAGAGGTTTAGTGATATGAAAAGTCTGAATTTTTTTCGACTTCTGGACTTTTCAGCATTTGCGGATTTTGCTAAACCAAAGGGGTTTCCTGATGCAGAACTGGCCTCACTTTTAAAAGTGTACCCCTTCTTTGACAGTTGGAGGTTGAAAAATGAACTGCTTGTGGTCTATGAAGAGAAGCGTTTCCATAAAGCGCCGAGCGACTTGCTTCAGATGATCATACAGGACGATTTGCATAGCACCCTGCCAGAACTGTTCAGATTGCTTAAGTTGATGCTAACAATTCCTGTAACAACTGTGTCTGCTGAAAGGTCTTTCTCTGGCCTGAAGAGGGTGAAAACATATCTTCGCAGTAACTGTGGACAAGAAAGACTGTCACACTTGGCAACAATTTCTCTGGAGTCAGCCTTAATTGATGAATTAAAGACGACAGGTGTATTCTACGACAGAGTCATAGACACATTTGCCGCTAAGAAGGACAGGAGGATGGATTAAAGTAAAATTTTAAATATATTGTTTTGCTGTATACGTACAATGTCGTTTTCCTACATAAACGTAGCCAAAAGCAGGCTTTTATTAAGCAGTTAAAAAAAAACGCCTCAGGGAGGGGACTACAATTTAGTGTGCCGCCTCTATTTTAATATCCACGAGCCGCCACTGATTCTGAATGATTATTTGATGTAACCCTCAGATGGTTCTACAATGTTTCTGAGGGTTTGTAACATGGAACCCTCACATGGTTCTAAATGAATCTTTGATGTAACCCTCAAAAAGGTCTTTTTTTTTGTGGAACCCATTCACAGTTCTAGAATATTTCCGATGTTTTCCGCAGTGAAACCCTCACAACATTTGTAAAATCAGGTTTTCTGTCGGTCTTAAAAAGTCTTAATTCACCCCTTCCACAAATTATGGCCTTAAAAAGAATCAAATCAGAACAGTTTTAAATTCATAAAATCCTGGCATTAAATGTTGCATACAAAATAACAAAATAAATAAATAAAATAAAAAGGCCTTCCTCAGTATTTGTTTTTACAGATATCTGAACATCCTTAAATCAAGATAAATTTACTTGAGATGAAAATGTAAAATGCCTTTTTATGAAAAAAAAGGTGATTAAATAAAAAGTGATTTTATGCTTAAAACAAGAACAAATATCCACCAATATTTTTTTCTGAGCCGATTGACAGATATTTGTTCTTGTTTTAATCATAAACTCACTTAATTTTGATCAGTTTCTCATAAAACAAGACTTCTGTAATTTTGCTTCTCAAGTAAATGTTTCTTGATTTAAGAATCTTTAGACATTTGCACTGGAAAACAAGACAAAAATACGTTAGACAAACATCACTTTTTTTTGCCGTGAGATCAGAAAAATGATTTATGTATTCTAGTGGTTGTGATGGATTGGTTGGAAGTTGTATTTTCAAACTGAAGTGCTGCTAATATAACTCATCTGCTCCCTAGACATTCACATTAAGAGAACATATTGGCGTATCGTGTTCCCTTCTGTTTATTCCTTAAATTTTATTTTCTTGGTCTTAAAAGGGTCTTTAAAATGTCTTAGATTTACCTGGTTACCAGGTTCTTCTGTGCAACTTCACATGGTTCTAGAATATTTCTGATGATTTCTACAGTGGAACACTCACACAGTTCTAAAATATTTGGAATGGTTTCTACAGTGGAACCCTTAGAACAGTTCTAAAATGGTTCTCATGGGTTCTACTGTGGAAGCCTTACAATTCTAGAAAGGCTCTAGAGAGGATTCTGCTAGTTTCTCCCGTGCTTCTAGAGAATTCCTCAGCAGGTCGAGCTGGAGAACTCAGACCGCTGACCTTTCAGTAAGGCTGTGAAGTGCAGAATATTGATGAGCATAACCAGCAGATTTCCTTTCATAAGGTTTGAACAGGCTTTTACTGCTGCTCAGAGGGAGCCGGCCGTCTCACTGCTTGTACGCAGGCACTCTTTACATGGGAAAATATCAGAGCTGCATTTAGACTTCCACTCCCCTGTTGTTTTACACTGTCTGAAATATGTACAGTGTTCGCTCGGTGTCATCGTCCATTTTTTTTTCTCTTTTTTTGGTTCTGGTTTGGTCTCCATCGATGAAAAAGAGCCTTGATTGTTCTCACCCTTTCACACCTGTTTGTTTTTTAGCTTTGTAAATTCCTGGCTGAGGAAAAGGACACCATTAGAAGGGAATACTGGAATTACGTGTCCCGTTCTCTCCAGAACACGTATGGCTCAGGTGACCCTGTTTCCTCCTCCTCTGACCCGCCTCCTCCTCCGTCATCATCCCAGCAGCCCGACATGGAGCCCAGTGACCCCTGAGGAGAAGCGCAGACCTGGACACATGCTTAGAGCAAGAAGAAATTCTGAGACATGATAGACTCTTTATCTTTGTATGAGTGCTTGGGTGTGCACAACCAGGCTTTAACAGCAGTGCTTGTAAGTCAAAGAACGGCGTAAAAATCCAAGTAGCCATATGCTTAAACACGCTGAGATTGAACTGTACAGTGGATGAAATGGACTGTGGGAGTTTGACAGTTAATCATACCAGTCATTCTTATGTTTTAGACTACCATCTACGTTTTCAGAGGTTAAAAGTGTCATTTATCAAAGCGAATACATAACCGACATGCTTCAGGTGTAGTCAGAAACTTCTCTTGCCAAAGCATCTTCTGGTTTGTGTTACCAAACTTTGCTCAGACTGACTGTACACGCTTTTTTGTATGTTC